ATCAAACCCTCTCTTTCTAGCTGTTTCAGAGGGCTGGGCCCTGGCAGTGAGAAATACATGGGTTCATGTGCTTCTTCCTTTCCCACCTCCATTTAGCCACTCAGCTCGGTGGAGAGAGCCTGGAGCCTGGTCCCTGCTTCTCAGGTTGCAGTTGGGGACTTATAGAGTGGGGGCCCATGGCCATCATGGTCGGGGGACTAGATGAGACAGGAACCCGGGCTGACGACACAGTGGGGGAGGGTTTTCTCTGCCACCTTTGCATCCCAGCGGCTCCTGCCATCTGCCACCTCTGTTATTCCCTCCTTGGGTTGCATGTGTGTTTTGTTTTTTTTCCCTTCTTACTTTAACAGACTTTAATTTTTAGAGAAGTAGCCCTGGTGGTTGCAATGGTTAAGCACGTGGCTGCTAACTGAAAGGTATGAGGTTCGAACCCACACAGCAGCTCCACAGGAGAAAGATCTGACAATCTGTTCCTGTAAAGACTACAGCCTAGAAAACCCTATGGAGCAGATCTACTCTGTCCTGTTGGGTCGCTATGAGTCAGAATCGTTTTAGGTTCAGAGAACAATTGTGCAGAAAGTTCAGAGTTCCCACACACCCCGTCTCCACCCTGCACATGGCTTCTTCTATTATTCACATCTTTCATTCTTGCGGTGTGTTATTTCCAGTTGATGACCCAACACTGATGCATCATTATTGACTGAAGTCCATGGTGTGCACCAGAGTCCACTCTTCCATTGCACAGCATCATGTCACATGCGTTCCATTATAGTATCATGCACCTGGTCTTTTAACTAATCTGGAGGAACATGATCTCTCCCTCAGGTATCAGTAGCTTAATGAGCGACCTTCGTGACATTTGCTGTTACTCTGTAAGTTTGGGTTAGCATGGCCAGCCTATCTGTGGAAGCTAATGATCTCCTTTTAGGCATGGTGCCTGCAATGTGAGGCGCCCAAGGCACCGCTTGACGGAGCCCGCCTCCCACACGTGGTCAGGTCCCTCCGGGGCTGGGTCAGGGAGAAAAAGCCTGAGAAGAGCTGGATGCAGGTGACAATGGCTTCTCACTCAGGGACATTGTTCATTGCAATAGTTCTGTAATAATTTGTAACTGCATGGG